GATTTATGCTAAGTATCCGGAAATTGAACTTAAATCAGGTTCAAAAGAAAGTAACGGACTTTTAAAGCTTATATTTATTTCATTAAATTACGATATTGTATGTCAAAAAAAAAAAAACTTTAAAATACCATTATAAGCTATAAAATACGTAATTATACCATAATCAAAATTTTCATATTACTTACTGATGACAATCGTGGTCTTCTAAAAAATTTCATAATGCTGGAACTTAAACTATCTATTGTCCTATTTTGTAAAGAATGTTTTCTTTCAGTTACTCTAAATAATCAAACTGGCTCTTGCAATAGATGTAGTAGTGACAATTTGATTCCAGAGGTTTTTACCAGAGAATGATAAAGATCAAGGTATGTAATAAAATATACAGTGTATGGTATTAACATATATTAATTTTTAAAAGTACTAACCGGGTTACCTCAGCTTAGCCAAGTTGAGGAAACATTAATCGCACGGATCTTTTTATGTTAACTGTCTTTAATCTCCAAGGTGGACAACTCGGATATAGAGATGTGATTAATTTCCCGCAAGATTTTAAAGAATTTATTACAAAGTTACTTCGGGATTCAGCCATAATTGATACTTTAGTTGTTTGACAAACTGGACAAGATTATACTATATTTTTCATGACTTTAAAGTCAAACGTATGAACATCTTAGTATGCCTTGCTTGAGCAATTACAATTCATAAGTAGCAAGACTTAACATTGCCAAAAACCATAATAAATCTTGAAAATAAGGAATTTGCAACAGGTCTTACATTTGCAGGGTATCAAGAGTTTGTGATTTTACCTGATCTTTTCGATACTGCCTTTTCTTTTGACAGATTACAAAATTAGAACATAATATGCGTTTATAACAATGACTAATAGAAGAACAAAGATTGATTTCCTTATAAATTTATTAATGTAATTCTAAAAATTAAAGGCAATTATAAAATTTTAAATCCAATTTTAATAATTAAAGCCTAAGAATTAGGACTCCAGCCCATAAAACGCCGCCGTTTTTCTAGTTATAAACAAAAACCATCAAATCAAGCTGATAACCCATCGAATGTATAGAATCAATCTATACCGTTTCGCCAAATGCTTACGTCAGCTTATGAGTCGAGTCACTAGATCTATTAAGCGTATAATATCTGTTGAAAAATTTCTTCATTAAGAATAATAGCCAACTTCTCTCCGGTATTGAATACTTAAAAAAGGATACGAAAAATTCGAATCCGAATCTTTGCCGATAGGCAAGTTAATGTCTTATCTATTTCACCAAAATTTCTCGTTACAGTCAACGAAAATTCAGAAAGAAAATATAGACCAATCTGAAATGAAGGGCGTAAAAAAGGATCATTTACAAAAAGAGTACATAATTTATCGAAGAATGTCACAAAAAACAACCAAATAGTTAAAAAGAAATAAACTATTAGAATGTTGTTTCTATGCATTAGATATGATTGTAAATTACATTAATTATTGTTTTATATTAAAATCTTAAAAAAGAATTCGAAGGCTTATTATCTGGACCATCATCCGGACCATATCACCCGAACCATCACCCGAGCCAACGTGGTACACATTTTCTGGGTGCATAAAAAATCTGGTCTATTAATCCTCCATTAGAGTTCTCCGCCTCGCTCCGGAAAATTATTTAATAATTTGTTCGTGCACGTATTTCCCTGTTTGCTGCAACAATCTGTGTGAACTGCCACAGAATACCTTTGGTTCATTCTTGTGTGATCTATTTCTCAAGATCTGAGCCACGGTTTTAATTGGTTTTTTTTTTTTAAATAATAATTGAGTCGAGCTTAGCATTTTTGGCATTCTTAACGATGGGATTTTTTATCTTATGAAAAAAAAAAAAAGAAAAGGACATGTTTTAAATTTACAACTTTGAATAATTATTTAATCAATTGAAGATTTTTAATGATTTTTATTGAGTAAGTGACAATCTTAACCCTTTAAGTTTTGAATGCGCATTATTTACCTTATTTACCAGATGATCAAAATCGATCAATCAAATATGTTAATTCTACGACATGCGATCTTTTCCCAAAGAATTCCTGATCATAGACTTATTGGTCATGTGCTTCCTAAAGATTGTTTATAAATTATCGTTATATGGAAAAATAAATGAAATATTGAAAAGATCGTGTGTCCAAGAATTCGATTCAAATAATTTTTTATATAGTGTTACTGATCTTTGATATGCATTACTCAGCATATAAACGCGAAAGTCATGATCATCACGCTGCGGAGAGCAAGTCCGCTTGTCATAGCGACATTATTCAACATAATTATATATTTAATAGTTTCAGCACAATCACAATCAGTTTATCGAACGGCCAATATACCTGAACCTCAAGAAAATGGTCTTGTTTATCCTGTAAACCTAGTAACTTACCCCAATGACATTATAGCCATTCGGTTATTTTACAATTTAACTTGTCCAATTAGTAGTAATATTATGACCCCACTTCGTTTCATTTCTCCAAATTTGGTGCTTACTATTACAAATCTAAACTATGCTTTTGATCCTGTAAATTATTGTCCTACAAATCAAACAAACACTACCTTATCAGACCAGGTGAATATTTTTGCGATACCAGGTATGTTCTTAAAAGCTAATCGGACCGTACTTATATAAACAATTCCTAAATAAATTTGCATTTGCTCTCTATTATTTATTTTTCAGATAACTTTTTATTGATACGTTATTGGATAGTTCCCAATAGTTCACCTAATATGGTTCAATATTATGGTCTTATCGTATCATCTGATGGTACAATAACAAATAGGTAAGGTAATATTTATTGATTCACTTGCTGATGGTTATTCAGCAATTGGAAATTAATATCATTTTCTTAATCAGGGACGCGCCAGTACAATTGAGTGATCCTATCAGAATTACCAACGCGACCGTATCTAATACTCAGATTACAACCTTAGATATTAATAAGAAAGGAATTCTTTTTTTTTCAAGTTTTGATCAAACGACAATTAATTGGACAAGATTTACCTGGAATTCTAATGTGTATTATATCATATTTATTGTTAATTACTTATATTATTTAATGTAAACCATCTTTAACAAGCATACGTTTGATGATAGACACACTTTGACAAACGATGCTCACGACGTTATTACTGCACCTCCCAAGTTTCAGATAGATGATTTTAAGAGCTTTACTACGATAGATGGAGGTTATGAATTAGTTTACGCTGTTAGTTTAAAAAATCAAGATCTTTTATTACCGAACGCCTCTATTTTAAGTCCTACAACATTAATTGTTTTCTCGACCGTGTTAAGATCTGATTCTTCTAATTTTACAGCTCCTGTCATAATATATCAATCATTATTATCAGAAACAACAATTTCCATCAGTAATTGTCAAAGTAATTCTGAAAATCGTCCTGGCTATGTATGTGTTTTACATGGCCAAAGTACACCACAAAGTTTAACACCTGGAGTGAGTTTTTGGCAAATGTTATCTTTTCTTTCTACAGGAACTGATGTTTCATCGGTGGATTTACCCAAAAATTTGGTAAATGGAAGTGACATGATCACCTACAACTCGGCCTATCTTTTACATAATGGTGGTATTTTAATGTTAGGTCGAAATCAAAATGGTACTTTACGGGGATCGATTTATAATGATAACGGTGTATTTGTGCAAGATTGGGGCTTACCTCTGTCTCGAGGAATGATAACTTCATACGCAGGAAGTAGTAACACCTTGTGGGCGGTTGCACCCTCAATAAATAACTCTTGGTCAGTGTATGCTATCGATTTGCCTTCATTTCTACCTAGTGGTAAGGTTTATAATTATACATTGGCCGATATTATATTATATGAACATATCAAATATTTTGCCAAGTGTCAATCTGTCAATCTCACGTTTTTTTTTTATTTTTGATTTTACTATTTTTTAGATACCTTATTAATGAATTAAATATAAGCTTTAAAAGTCCGTTACTTTCTTTTGAACCTGATTTAAGTTCAATTTCCGGATACTTAGCATAAATC